AGACGACTAGTTAAGCTCTATGGAGCAAGGTCCCCTGGTACATAATAGGCGAGCACACGAGTTAAGAAGATAGTTAGTCATCTTAGTTATCTCTAGAATTCTTTTAAGACTTAATTCACTCTAGACACATTTGAGCACTCCCTTTGATAATCCTCACATTATCTCTATTAGCGTTATTCAATTTGGCAATTTAAGTTTTGTTACAATATTAAACAATAAAAAAATATTATTAACTATAATGGGTGTGTCGTTTCTCGTTTGATTTCGATCATTAAACTTTATAACATTTCAAACGCTTACTCTAATACTCAACACACCTACCTTTTATACTTATATATATACAGTAGTGTTGTTGTTTTAGAAGCAGGAACAGTTGTAGTAATAGTAGTAGTGGTTTCAGCAGTAGTAGTAGTTGTAGTTGTAGTAGCAGACGCAATAAAATATGGTGGCGATGAGGTTTTCGCTGACGTGTTGACGCTCCTTTAGAAATAATTTTGATATGCTAAGAATGGCTTCGGAACAGGTTATTTAAATTATGTGGGGTTTTAGTAATAGTTGTTGTAGCAGCAGTAGTAGTAGTAGCAGGAAACACAGCAGCAATAGTAATTATAATAGTGGTTCCTGGAAGTTTTAGTAGTAAAAGCCACAAGTGGTAGCAGCAGCTTCAGAAGTAGCGGTACGTGTAGTAGCAGCAGTACTGCAATATCGATACTCAGGCTTGATAGTGTTCCGTATTTATTTGTGCAAGCATGGTTGGTTGGTACGCATTGCGCGAAATGGCGGCAAAATAAACATACAGTGAGATGCAGACTAACAAGAATGACAGACAGACAGACAAGCAGACAGACAGACGGACGGACGGATTGAAAGACAGATAAATAGACAGACAAACAAGCTGACATACGGGCAGACAGACAGACAGACAAACAAACATACAGACAAACAGGCAAACAAACAAACAGACAGAGAAATAGACAAAAAAACAAACAAACAGACCGATAGACAAAAAGACAGACAGCTAGACAGACAGACAGGATGATGTTAGGTTTAAGGGTCAGTCAATGTATCTCCGTGCATCAGCAGGAGTTTGTTTATTTGTTTATCTTCCTCCGATTGTTTGTTTATGTTTCTAACGTTGTTTATGTGCGTATGCGTGTATGTGTAATGTATATTGT